TCCGGAGTAAAACTTGTAGATTTTGAAATTACCTGACGAAGATATGTCCGAACAGTGGCTCTCTAGTATGAATGTAGTTTGGGCAAGTTGTATGACTTTGGTACAAGTCTTTAAATACAATTTGAGTCTCAATCTGACAAATAATTCAATGAGCAAAACAAGAATTCTCACTTCTACCCTTCCACCAACCCCACCACTATTCTCTTGGAGAGAAACAGACACAATGAGAAGACTTCTCTTTACATAGCCTAACAAGTCTTGCATTCCCATCCATTACATTGCCTTCTTCTTTCATAAAGAATTGGTTTTGAGAATCTAAATCAACAACTCAGAACTTCCTCCTACTGTCCTGTTTAGTGAGAAAATAACAAACAGCGGCATGGCAGCGTATGATGCTGTGACTTCACTTTTGCATACCCTGGATCATCTATCTCAAACTCATACATCACATTCTCTTCTTTACAAAAAAGAGCAAACTGAAGTCCTCAGTGACAAGTACACCTTCCTTAAAACCTTTCTTGACGATTTTACTAATATTTTCCATGAAGATATAAAGATGAAGCATCTGGAAAGGATGATCCAAGAAGCTGCTAATGGAGTGGAAGATACTATTGACTCACATGTATATGATAGCTCTGTCTTAGTACAAAGCAAGCGAGTACAAAGAAAGGCTGATACAATTTTTCATCAAAACTTGGAATATGCAATTGAGGAAATTGGTTTGATACAAAAAGAGGTTATGAAAAAGATAAAGGTCAACAAGTTCAACAGCAAAATCTCTCATTCAAGAGATACTTCATCTCAGATCCCTATGGATCAAAAAGATGTAATCATCGGACTAGATGAAGACTTGCTAAAGATAAAAGATCGACTCATCGTGCAATCATCAAGACTCGAAGTTGTCCCCATTATAGGGATGGGTGGTATAGGCAAGACCACACTGGCTAGAAGAGTTTATGATGATTCCTTGATTGCATACCATTTTTATGTTCGAGCATGGACAAATGTATCTCAAGAATTTGACACTAGAGAAATTTTTCTTGGTATTCTTCGCTCCATTGGCGTGGTCAAGGATGAAGTAGAAAGAAACAGTACTAATGAGCAATTGGCTGAAAGAGTTTATCGAAGTTTAAAAGGGATGAAGTATCTTATTGTCCTAGATGATATGTGGTCCATCGAGGCTTGGAAGCATGTGAGGAGATCTTTTCCGGATGATCATAATGGAAGTCGAATCTTGTTGACCACGAGGCTGGTAGATGTTGCATCTTGTGCTTGCTCTGGCAATTCCCTTCACGAGATGCGCTTTCTGAGTGTGGAGGAAAGCTGGATTCTTTTACGCGATAAGGTCTTTGGGAATGGTAGTTACCCTCCGGAATTGGAGAAAATTGGGAGATACATTGTCCGTCAGTGTCAAGGGTTGCCACTTGCAGTTGTTGCAATTGGTGGACTACTTTCCAAGATGAGCAAGGAAACAAGTTCTTGGGAGAAAGTTGCAGAAAAGGTAGGATCACTTATGACAAGTGACACTATGGATTGCTTGAACATACTTTCTTTGAGCTACAACCACTTGCCTCAGTACTTGAAAACATGCTTCCTTTATATGGGAGTTTTTGCAGAAAGTCGTGAGATCCCGGTCTGGAAGTTAATAAAGTTATGGATTGCTGAGGGCTTCGTCAAGAAAGTTAATCATAAAAAATCTAGAAGATGTGGCAGAGGAAAATTTGAGGGAGTTGGTTGATAGAAGTTTGGTTTTGGTGGGGAGAGATACCTCCCTGGGAAAAATCAAGACTTGTAAGATGCATGATCTCGTTCGAGATATGTGTTTGAGAGAATCCCAATATGAGAATTTTTTACACTTCAAAACGAGGTATGACAAAGATAATCTTCTAGAAAACATTAATTGTCTACGTCGTATAGTTGATTTCATTAATTATGGATCCAGTGGAATTTCTATATTTATTCCACTCGCACGTTCTGTTTTCTTCAAACATGAATACAACTTTTGTTCCCCCGCACGATTAAGGTTTAGATTGCTTAGGATATTAGATGTTTGTTTTCCATGTTCTTTCTCCTGTAGTCAGTCCATATCAGAACTTGTTCATTTGAGGTATCTTGCTTGTCCGTCCTTCGGTGGCCTTGTGCAATCAATATGCAAGCTTCGGAATTTACAGAACTTAGTTATTCATGATGTAAGCTTATTTGCTTCACTTATAACAACCCAGTCCCTAGCATGGGAAGTTTTGAATATGCCTCAACTAAGACATATCCATACAAAAAACTTTAGTCTCTTCATACCCCGACCTACATCCCTAATTGCTGAGAGGGAGAATCACTTACTAACAATAACCGGATTGATTCCCTCATCTTGTAATGATGAGGTGTTTCTAAGAATTCCAAATTTGAAGAAGTTGGGAATTTTAATTGATGTTGCTTCATACCCTATTAGGAATTGCCTTGATAATCTTGTACATTTAACTCAGCTTGAGAAGCTCAAAGTTGTGGTCAGAGAGCCTTTTCTGCTAATTTTTACGCCGATTATCGAAGGTTGGATGGACATTCCACATTGTGACAATTTCCCACCAAACCTTAAGAAGTTAACATTGTGCAGAACAAACCTACAATGGGAAGACATGAACATTCTCAGAAAATTACCTAATCTTGAGGTGCTCAAACTTAAAGATTATGCCTTTCGCGGACTAACTTGGAAACTAAGCGATGTAGACGAAGATGGATTCTTGAAGCTAAAGTTTTTACTTCTTGAGAGCTTGCATCTGATGCAATGGGAAGCAACAAGTTATCATTTTCCAAGCCTTGAGCACTTTGTCCTAACAAATTGCCGGTACTTGGAAAAAATTCCTTTCGACTTTGCGGAGATTCAGACACTACAGCTGATTGAACTACACGAATGTATGCGTTCTGTTCTTGTTTCAGCAGAGCAAATACAAGAGGAGCAACAAAGCTTTGGAAATGATGACCTCATTATCCGTGCGAACTATATACTTGAGTAAACATTAATCAAAAAGGTATACCCTTTTTTTAAAAGCATAAAGATTTTTGATTAGTTAGATTCCTTCGAAATCTGAAAATGATTTTTATATTCATCATTTTCACTTATTTATACTATAAAAGGTGCTAATTACAATTGGTTTGTGCATTGCAGACGTAACGACTAGCTAAATGGAAAGTACCATAAGGTATATACACTCAAGCAAATTTGCAGAAGTTCATGTTATTTCCTGTCTGTGTATTTCGATTTCCTTTTATCAAATTCTGGGAAGTAAGTTAGTGAAATAGTCATGTTTCAACTTGTTTGGGACTGAAACGTAGTTTAGTGAATCTGACATCTATATACATTCATCAAAAAGAATGCATTACCTTTGGAATGTGTATATAGAATAACTTCTCTTTTTATTGAAATTGATTCTATAAATTAGTTCTCCTCAACAAAACCTTTTCGACCATACCAAACACACCCTTAGTGATTCTTTGTTTTGCTCGTCTTAACTCTTATCTATACTTTTAACATTTTTTTGTCTTTTACTTGCTTCTTTTGTTTACAATAATGTTTTATCATTTTCAATATGTTGACTTTTAGTCAATTTTATTTTTTCTTAATTCAAAACAATATAATAAAAGAGACGTTGAAAAATTCCAAATATGTGAAAAATCTTCTCTTTATTTTGCTTTGCTCTTTCGATCTTAATTTATATAACATATTTCGCTTTTTAGTATGTCTCAAAACAAATTACTACATTTTCTAATTTGAATATATATTAAAATTGTGGATATCATATTTTAGTTATGATGTTATACTTTAGTTAAAGAATTTTTCTTTTTTAATTGTTCGCTTTAGCAAATCAAGATCATAAAATTATTAATTGATTTTTTAATAATTGTAGCGTCTAAGTCCGTTTGTATGCGCCAACTAATTCTATGATATACTATATCTATTATTCCTCACCAACCATGCATAAAGTAACTTTGTTATCAAAGCTTGAACTGATAAGAAGAAATCATCACGCGCGTGTTCTTAGTTAGCTATATCTAGAATTTGAATTTAAAATCCCATAATTTTCAACACATGACTTCATTGACCATCTTTCAAAAATAACATAAGATCTACATTTATTCTATCTTTTCTGATCTGGTAAATGAAATTATACTGAATACGTTATTGTGGTTGTTATATTGTCTTTGTGTATCTAAAGAGATATGGATGTGAGTGGGAACATCCCATGTGCATATACTCAAGAAAAGGAGATTGAAAACAATGTGTATGAATTGTGCCTTGGTACAGAAAAAATATGGAATGGTCCCTCATAACGATAATGAGTGAAAAATGTGAGTTATATTATTTTAGAAAAATAAAATAGGAATCTTTTAGGTGTTGAATTACAATTGGTTCTTGTCTATCTTTTTCGTCTTTTCCTTTTTTAAAGTAGAATATAAAAAAAATAATACTAAAAATAGAAAGTTAATTACCAAAAAGAGAAATACCAAAATAAACATACAAATTAATTCTAGATTAAGAAAATTAAAATACCATAATACTAAACTTATTTATTGAAACCTAATTTGAAAAGGATGAAAATTATTCTTTCTTTTGAAAATGAAATAAAATTGATATTCTAAAATATGATTCTATTTTTGTAATTTTTCAATTTCAACAAATAAAACTTATCAAACTAAAACAAAGATTAAAAAAAAAAACAACAACATAGCAGTGAATTTCCAAAAGTGGGTATAAGAAGGGTAGGATATAAGAAGTGTACTGTAACCAACGTAGAATTGAAAGGAAAATAACGTCAAGAAATATCAAGATACATAAAGTAAATGAAACAACATGCAATGGTGAAAAGTAAAGAATAAGATAGTATGCGACTATGTCTACTAATCAACATTTACTAAATAAAGAGAAGACGAGAAGAGGAAGTTAATCCCCCGCTTCTCCCACAAAGAAATATGACAACAATAATCGACTATTTACTATTCTTGTACTATAATCTTCGATCTTCATATCTTCTTATTTAGGTCATGTATTTCGAAGATGTTTCATGTCATATCTAAATTATCTCTTCTCAATTCCTCTTCGTCTTATTTGTACCTCTCATAAAATCGGTTACAAATCAATCTCTTCACACCTTCTTATTTGTACACTCATTCCTGCATCTCTCCATATATGTTCGAACTATTTCTATCTCGTTTTCCTCATCTTAATCCTTACTAAAAAATGTTAATCAGATTCCAATGTGGATATCAAATATCGAACACCGAATAAAGATGAAAAACAAGAAAAAAATCCAAAGATGCTGTTTTTATTCCTGCCACATAGATTATTGGGTCAGCCATAAAAATATCTTCGTTAGCTGGCTGATGACGTGGACTTCCTCTGGTGGCAGGTTTAGGTCTCTAGATATTTTCACCTCAAAATATCCTTCAACCACGTGTCGACCAAACTTTCATTTTTGCCATCCAAACACCTATAAACTACCGAAATGCCATTGACTATCAATACTAGTTTGTATTTTTTATTTCTAAATTCTAATACTATACTATTAGTTCTTACTATTTTTTGAAAAGTTACACTTTTAAGATCCACTTTTTTTTATATATTGATAGCGTTATTAAATATTTATGAAATAAAAAAAAAATTATTACTCTTTTTTGAATTAATTAAAAGGAAAAAGGTATTGTATATATTAAAATAGAGCGAATATTATTTTATCATGATTATTATTTACAAAATATAGTAAGTAATTGTTCGATTTTGGATTCAAATACCTTCTTTTATTTCTTTAGTATGTTTTCCATTGATTACTACTTACTTAGTATAAGTCGCTAGAAGGTGACACGGCTTGAACAACATGTCTACTTCAGAAGCCAGGGATAATTTTATCTTTCTTCGTGCAATTACACATGGCATTGATTGATAAAAATATGAAAGACTAGATTTACCCTTACTCCTCTATTTTTTTTTTGGCAATTAACAAATTTTATTAATTACCATAACCATGAGAAATTATTTTAGATTTAACCCTTGTCAAAGACAAAATCCATCAAAACAATGTCACAACTATCAACTAAATGTGATATCTAATGTGAATTGTAAAATTTTTGAACCATCGAGTCTTTAATTGCATATTACGCTTGAAGCTATTAGGTCAATGACATATATTTGTCTGAATGCCACGCATTATATTGCATCGCCGCTAAAATGCTTAAAGAAACTATCAACTAAATATAGACATAGCAACAACTATAGCCTTTAATATGCATTTTTGTGCACTCTTAATTTTCATATCATTAAATCCAAAATATATACCTAAAACGAGGAATCAATTATACATAGTACTAGAACTAGAATACTTATTCTTAGGGCCACTTAAATATATTTTTAAGTAGCTAGAACAGCTAATTAACCACTATTATAATGCTATGTTCCTTAATCCTAGTATATAATTCAACTTTAAATATAATCAGTAGGTCAAGTGTGATAATGACATCCATAATTATCGTTTATCACACTCCAATTTAATAATAAAATAATAAATTAACATTGAAGCATAACTATGGCCTATGGGTTCTCAATACATGAATATTCTCTCAAACAGGTATATAATTTTTTTATAAATAGTTCTACTTTAAAGCATAGTTACAAAACGTAAATATAATTTAACATAACTATAATTATTGTATCAGGTAAAAGAATTGTATCATGCAGATATCAATTATATCGACAACTAATTATATTCAAACAACAAGTATCATCCGTATCAGACGGATATCAACGCATACTATATCAATTGATAAGTTCAATCTTTATGTTTCTATCAACAGAATTCATTATACTTTTAAAATTACGAATTCAAATATTTTAATATTAAAACACACACGTCTATGCATGATATCAGAAATACTAGGTTCGTATTAATCCAATTCTTACATCACCCCCCCCCCCACACACACACACAATAAAAATATCTTACTTTCGGTGTGAACTATGAATTAAATTTCAAAAAATAACAATTCTAAAAAAGATTATTTAATTTTGTAAACAATAATAGTTTCAAATTCCATAGCAGAAACTCCAGTACATTGTCATGGAGTAAAACTTGTAAAAACAACAACATATCTAGTGTAATCTCACAAGTGAAGACTAGGGTGATAGGATGTGAACAAACCTTATCCTTACCTTTGTGGTGTAGAGAGATGTTGTTTCCGATAGACCCTCGACTCAACAATAAAGAAAAGAATTTGAAGCATGGTAGCAAGAAAATATGACAGCAAAACAGCAAGATACAAATCAAATGAAGCAACAAAGTGCAACAATACTCGGCTACCTACTAACTTTCTAATCTAATCCTCAACTTTCACTCCTTCCTATCTAGGGTCATATCCGGAGTAAAACTTGTAGATTTTGAAATTACCTGACTATAGTTATATTTCGAAGATATGTCCGAAAAGTGGCTCTCTAGTATGAATGTAGTTTGGGCAAGTTGTATGACTTTGGGTCTCTGAAACTATTCCAACTTGCTTTTTGGTACAAGTCTTAAATACAATTTGGGTCTCAATCTGACAAATAATTCAATGAGCAAAACAAGAATTCTCACTTCTACCCTTCCACCAACCCTACCATTACTCTATTGGAGAGAAGCAGTCACAAAGAGAAGACTTCTCTTTACAAACCCTTAAAAGTCTTGCATTCCCATCCATTACACTGCCTTCTTCTTTCATAAAGAATTGGTTTTGAGAATCTAAATCAACAACTCAGAACTTCCTCCTACTGTCCTGTTTAGCAAGAAACTAACAAACAGCGATATGGCGGCGTATGCTGCTGTGACTTCACTTTTGCATACCCTGGACAGTCTATCTCAAACTGATATTCTTTACAAAAAAAAGCAAACTGAAGTCCTCAGTGACAAGTACACCTTCCTTAAAACCTTTCTTGAGGATTTTACTAATATTTTCCATGAAGATGTAAAGATGAAGCATCTCGAAAGGATAATCCAAGAAGCTGCTAATGGAGTGGAAGATACTATTGACTCACATGTATATGATAGACATGTTTTAGTACAAAGCAAGCAAGTACGAAGTAAGGCTGATGCAATTTTCCATCAAAACTTGGAATATGCAATTGAGGAAATTGGTTTGATACAAAAAGAGGTTATGAAAAAGATAAAGGTCAACAAGTTCAACAGCAAAATCTCTCATTCAAGAGATACTTCATCTCAGATCCCTTTGGATCAAAAAGATATAATCGTTGGACTAGATGAAGATTTACTAAGGATAAAAGATCGACTCATCGTGCAATCATCAAGACTCGAAGTTGTCCCTATTATAGGGATGGGTGGTATTGGCAAGACCACACTGGCTAGAAGAGTTTATGATGATTCCTTGATTGCATACCATTTTTATGTCCGAGCATGGACAAATGTATCTCAAGAATTTGACACCAGAGAAATTTTTCTTGGTATTCTTCGCTCCATTGGCGCAGTCAACGATGAAGTAGAAAGAAACAGTACTAATGAGCAATTGGCTGAAAGAGTTTATCGAAGTTTAAAAGGGAGGAAGTATCTTATTGTCCTAGATGATATGTGGTCCATCGAGGCTTGGCAGCATGTGAGGAGATCATTTCCAGATGATCATAATGGAAGTCGAATCGTGTTGACCACAAGGCTTGCAGATGTTGCATCTTGTGCTTGCTCTGTCAATTCCCTTCACCAGATGCGCTTTCTGAGCATGGAGGAAAGCTGGACTCTTTTACGCGATAAGGTCTTTGGGAACGGTAGTTACTCTCCGGAATTGGAGAAAATTGGGAGATACATTGTCCATCAGTGTCAAGGGTTGCCACTTGCAGTTGTTGCAATTGGTGGACTACTTTCCAAGATGAGCAAGGAAACAAGTTCTTGGGAGAATGTTGCAGAAAAGGTAGGATCGCTTATGACCAGTGACACTACGGATTGCTTGAACATACTTTCTTTGAGCTACAACCACTTGCCTCAGTACTTGAAAGCATGCTTCCTTTATATGGGAGTTTTTGCAGAAATCCGTGAGATCCCGGTCTGGAAGTTAATAAAGTTATGGATTGCTGAGGGCTTCGTCAAGAAAGTTAATCATAAAAATCTAGAAGATGTGGCAGAGGAAAATTTGAGGGAGTTAGTTGATAGAAGTTTGGTTTTGGTGGGGAAGCATACTTCCCTACGAAAAATCAAGACTTGTAAGATGCATGATCTCGTTCGAGATATGTGTTTGAGAGAAGCCAAATATGAGAATTTTATACACTTCAAAACAAGGTATGACCATGATGACCTTCTAGAAAACATTAGTTGTCTACGTCGTGTAGCTGATTTCCATAAGTATACAGACAGTGAACTTTCTAAACTTATGCCACACACACGTTCTGTTTTCTTCAAATATCCATACTTTTTTGTTTCCTCTCACAGTCGAGCTTTAGATTACTTAGGATATTAGATGTTTGCTTTGATCCTTTTTTTAACTGTTCTCCGTCCATATCCGAATTGATTCATTTGAGGTATCTTGCTTGTCCGTCCTTCGATGGCCTTGTGCAGTCAATATGCAAGCTTCGGAATTTACAGAACTTAGTTATTCATGATTCATGTCCATTTGGTTTATGTATGTGGGAAGTTGTGAATATGCCTCAACTAAGACATATCCATACAAAAAAGTTTATTCTTTTCATACCCCCACCTACATCACTAATTGCTGTGAGGGAGAATCATTTACAAACGTTAACCGGATTGATTTCCTCATCTTGTAATGAAGAGGTGTTTCTAAGAATTCCAAATTTGAAGAAGTTGGGAATATTAATTGATGTTGTTTCAGACACTATTCAGAAGTGTTATTGTCTTGATAATCTTGTACATTTAACTCAGCTTGAGAAGCTCAAAGTTGAGTGCGATTATCTGCAGGAGTTAATTTGGATCTTAGGAGCTCGAAGCTTAGGTTGGGTGGGCCTTCCTTTGCTACACATTCCACATTGTGAAAATTTCCCACCAAACCTTAAGAAGTTAACATTGTGCAGAACGTACCTACAATGGGAAGACATGAACATTCTCAGAAAATTACCTAATCTTGAGGTGCTCAAACTTAAACATAATGCCTTTGACGGACTAATTTGGATACTAAGCGATGAAGACGAAGATGGATTCTTGAAGCTAAAGTTTTTACTTCTTAAGCGCATGAGTCTGAAGCAATGGGAAGCAACAAGTTATCATTTTCCAAGCCTTGAGCACTTAGTCCTAAAAGATTGCCGGAACTTGGAACAAATTCCTTTCGACTTTGCGGAGATTCAGACACTACAGCTGATTGAACTACACGAATGTATGCGTTCTGTTCTTGTTTCAGCAGAGCAAATACAAGCGGAGCAACAAAGCTTGGGAAATGATGACCTCATTATTCATGCGAACTATATATGTGAGTAAACATTAATCAAAAAGGTATACATTTCTTAAAAGCATAAATTTTTTGATTAGCTAGATTCGTTCGAAATCTGAAAATGTTTTTATATTCATCATTTTCACTTATTTATACTATAAAAGGTGCTAATTACAATTGGTTTGTGCATTGAAGACGTAACGACTAGCTGATGGAGAGTACCAAAAGGTATATATACTCAAGCAAATTTGCAGAAGTTCATAATCTTTCCTGTCTGTGTATTTCAATTTCCTTTTTTTCAAATTCAGGGAAGTAAGTTAGTGAAATAGTCATGTTTCGACTTGTTTAGGACTGAGACTTAGTTTAGTGAATCTGATATCTATATACATTCATCAGAAAGAATACATTACCTTTGGAATGTGTATATAGTTGAATAACTTCTCTTTTTATTGAAATTGATTCTATAAATCAGTTCTCCTCAACAAAACCTTTTTCGTCCATTACCAAACACACCCTTAGTGTTTCTTTGTTTTGCTCGTCTTAACTCTTATCTATACTTTAACATTTTTGTGTTTTACTTGCTTCTTTTGTTTACAATAATGTTTTATCATTTTGAATATGTTGACTTTTAGTCAATTTTATTTTTCTTTAGTTCAAAACAATATAATAAAAGAGGCGTTGAAAAATTCCAAATACGTGAAACGTAATCTTCTCTTTATTTTGCTTTGCTCTTTCGATCTTAATTTATATAACGTATTTCGCTTTTTAGTATGTCTCAAAACAAATTTACTACATTTTTCTAATTTGAATATATATTAAAATTGTGGATATCATATTTTAGTCATGATGTTATACTTTAGTTAAAGAATATTTCTTTTTACTTGTTCACTTTAGCAAATCAAGATCATAAAATTATTAATTGATTTTTTTATAATTGTAGCGTCTAAGTCCGTTTGTATGCGCACCGACTAATTCTATGATATACTATATCTATTATTCCTCACCAACCATGCATAAAGTAACTTTGTTATCAAAGCTTGAACTGATAAGAAGAAATCATCACGTGTTCTTAATTAGCTATATCTAGAATTTGAATTTAAAATCCCATAATTTTCAACACATGACTTCATTGACCATCTTTCAAAAACAACATAAGATCTACATTTATTCTATCTTTTCTTCCTGATAAATGAAATTACACAAAATACGTTGCGGTTGTTATATTGTCTTTGTGTATCTAAAGTGATATGGGTGTGAGTGGGAACATCCCATGAGCATATGCTCAAGAAAAGGATATTGAAAACAATGTGTATGAATTGTGCCCAAATTAAAGTCAATTCACTATGCATTTTCTTTAGAAAGAAATGAAGGGTACAAACATGTTTTTTTAATATTCAAGTTGGAATAAACAACACAATATAATCAAACTGAGAAATGATATTCAATATACTTTTGCAGGCATCCAGCAAGTTGGAATAGTTTAAAGGTAAAATGCATAAGTACCCCCAGCTTATGTTCAAAATCCCTGAGACATACCTAACATTTACTAAGGTCCTATTACTCTCTTGAACTTATTTTATATATAATTTTCTACCCCTTTTCAGCTTACATGGCACTATCTTGTGGGTCCAGCGCGTGTTGTCAATTTTTCCAAGGATAGTGCCACGTAGGCCGAAAAGGGGTAAAGAATTATATATAAAATAAGTTTAGGGGTAATAGGACCTTAGTAAAGGTTAGGTGTGTCTTAGAAATTTTGGACATAGGCTGGGGGTACCTTATGCATTTCCCCTAGTATAAATCAGATGAGTTCAAAAAGTTGGCACCATACCGGGTGCAATTCCGCAAGTAGGGTCTCGGAGGTTAAAATGTACGCAACCTTATGAAGGTAGACACACTATTTTAAGTAGACTCTCGGCTCAAGTAACGCTTAGAAAGAAAATATAGTAGGAAGAAGTCATGCTAAAAATAACGCAGGAGAGAATAGTAACAAGATGTTAAATAATGTGGAGCCCAAATGTAATTTTCTAACTTTTTTTCTTTTTGTATTTCTTTCCACAAAAATATTGAACTTTGAACTTCACACATAAAATCAATGTTAAATTTGTCTTACCTTCCCCTCCAAAATAACCTCTTTAAAAATGACACAAATGAAGAAATTGCACTGATCCAAATGAGGAAAATCAGTTGAAAAGCTTGGATCTTCCACTGATGTAAAAAAAAAATTGAGTCCCCTTTTCCTCTTTTAGTGTAAAGTTCAAATCTTTGTACTGATAATCAGTTTTGATTGGTTTTTAAAAAAAAAAAATTAACCCCCTTTTCCTCTTTCAGTTTAAAGCTCAAATCTTTTTACTGATAATCATTTTATTTTTTTGCAGAGTTATGGAGAGCAACACTTAAGAGGATTGCAAGAGTAACTTATTTTCCCCCATAGTACAGTTTCCTCTCTTTTTTTCTCAATACATTGCATTTTTGTTATTGTTATTGTTGTTGTTGTTGTGGGTTAGTACATAAATGTTGATCTTTATTGTGCTTAATTATTATTTCAGAAAGTCACGCTTCTTCTTGATTTCAATTTTTTTCAACAAAGAAAGTGACCTTCTGACAATAATAACTATTAGTTGAATGACCATCTTAGAAAGTGACATTTCAATTTTTTTCGACAAAGAAAGTGACATTACCTAACCATAGTTATTTTTCAAAGATATGATCAAAAAGTGGCTCATTACGGTATGAATGTAGTTTGGGCAAGTTGTATGACTTTGGGACTCATTTTAAAAAACTATTCCAACTTGCCTTTTGGTACAAGTCTTAAATACCATTGACTTCAATCAAAACTCTCTTATAGAGAAACAGACACAAAGAGAAGACTTCTCTTTACATAGCCTAACAAGTCTTGCATTCCCATCCATTACACTGCCTTATCCGATAGACCCTCGACACAACAATAAAGAAAAGAATTTGAAGCATGGTAGCAAGAAAATATGACAGCAAAACAGCAAGATACAAATCAAATGAAGCAACAAGTAGTAATGCACATCGAAGAAAAAGAAACAAAGTGCAACAATATTGCTACCTACTAACCTTCTAATGTAATCCTCAACTTTCACTCCTTCCTACCTAGGGTCATATCCGGAGTAAAACTTGTAGATTTTGAAATTACCTGACTATAGTTATTTTTAGAAGATATGTCCGAAAGTGTCTCTCTAGTATGAATGTAGTTTGGGCATGGGTCTCTGACAAACTATTCCAACTTGCTTTTTGGTACAAGTCTTTAAATACAATTTGAGTCTCAATCTGACAAATAATTCAATGAGCAAAACAAGAATTCTCACTTCTACCCTTCCACCAACCCCACCATTACTCTCTTGGAGAGAAACAGACACAAAGAGAAGACTTCTCTTTACAAAACCTAAAAAGTCTAGCATTCCCATCCATTACATTGCCTTCTTCTTTCATAAAGAATTGGTTTTGAACATCTAAATCAAGAACTCAGAACTTCCTCCTATTGTCCTGTATAGTGAGAAACTAACAAACAGCGATATGGCGGCGTATGCTGCTGTGACTTCACTTTTGCAAACCCTGGATCATCTATCTCAAACTCATACATCACATTCTCTTCATTACAAAAAAGAGCAAACTGAAGTCCTCAGTGAGAAGTACACCTTCCTTAAAACCTTTCTTGAGGATTTTACTAATATTTTCCATGAAGATGTAATGATGAAGCATCTCGAAAGGATGATCCAAGAAGCTGCTAATGGAGTGGAAGATACTATTGACTCACATGTATATGATAGACATGTTTTAGTACAAAGCAAGCGAGTACGAAGAAAGGCTAATACAACTTTCCATCAAAACTTGGAATATGCAATTGAGGAAATTGGTTTGATACAAAAAGAGGTTATGAAAAAGATAAAAGGTCAACAAGTTCAACAGTAAAAATCTCTCATTCAAGAGATACTTCATCTCAGATCCCTTTGGATCAATGAGATGTAATCATTGGACTGGATGAAGACTTGCTAAAGATAAAAGATCGACTCATCGTGCAATCATCAAGACTCGAAGTTGTCTCCATTATAGGGATGGGTGGTATTGGCAAGACCACACTTGCTAGAAGAGTTTATGATGATTCCTTGATTGCATACCATTTTTATGTTCGAGCATGGACAAATGTATCTCAAGAATTTGACACTAGAGAAATTTTTCTTGGTATTCTTCGCTCCATTGGCGTGGTCAACGATGAAGTAGAAAGAAGCAGTACTACTGAGCAATTGGCTGAAAGAGTTTATCGAAGTTTAAAAGGGAGGAAGTATCTTATTGTCCTAGATGATATGTGGTCTATCGAGGCTTGGCAGCATGTGAGGAGATCATTTCCAGATGATCATAATGGAAGTCGAATCGTGTTGACCACAAGGCTTGTAGATGTTGCCTCTTGTGCTTGCTCTGGCAATTCCCTTCACCAGATGCGTTTTCTGAGCATGGAGGAAAGCTGGACTCTTTTACGCGATAAGGTCTTTGGGAATGGTGGTTACCCTCCGGAATTGGAGAAAATTGGGAGGTACATTGGCCATCAGTGTCAAGGGTTACCACTTGCAGTTGTTGCAATTGGTGGGCTACTTTCCAAGATGAGCAAGGAAACAAGTTCTTGGGAGAATGTTGCAGAAAAAGTAGAATCACTTATGACCAGTGACACTATGGATTGTTTGAACATACTTTCTTTGAGCTACAACCACTTGCCTCAGTACTTGAAAACATGCTTCCTTTATATGGGAGTTTTTGCAGAAACTCGTGAGATTCCGGTCTGGAAGTTAATAAAGTTATGGATTGCTGAGGGCTTCGTCAAGAAAGTTAATCATAAAAATCTAGAAGATGTGGCAGAGGAAAATTTGAGGGAGTTGGTTGATAGAAGTTTGGTTTTGGTGGGGAAGCATACTTCCCTAGGAAAAATCAAGACTTGTAAGATGCATGATCTCGTTCGAGATATGTGTTTGAGAGAAGCCCAATATGAGAATTTTATACACTTCAAAACAAGGTATGACTATGATGATCTTCTAGAAAACAATAGTTGTCTACGTCGTGTAGCTGATTTCCATAAATATACAGACAGTAGACTTTCTAAACTTACCCCACTCACACGTTCTGTTTTCTTCAAATATCCATCCTTTGATTGTTGCCTCTCACAGTCGAGCTTTAGATTACTTAGGATATTAGATGTTTGCTTTACTACTTCTTTGGACAGTAGTCAGTCCATATCAGAACTTGTTCATTTGAGGTATCTTGCTTGTCCGTTTTTCAATGGTCTTGTACAATCACTATGCAAGCTACGGAATATACAGAACTTAGTTATTCATAATTTACATCCATTTGGTTTACTTATGGGACCCCAGTCCCTACCATGGGAAGTTGTGAATATGCCTCGACTAAGACATATCCATACAAAAAAGTTTAAGTCTTTTCATACCCCCACCTACATCCCTAATTGCTGAGAGGGAGAATCACTTACAAACAATAACCGGATTGATGCCCTCATCTTGTAATGATGAGGTGTTTCTAAGAATTCCAAATTTGAAGAAGTTGGGAATTTTAATTGATGTTGCTTCATACCCTACTGCGAATTGCCTTGATAATCTTGTACATTTAACTCAGCTTGAGAAGCTCAAAGTTGTGGTCAGCGAGAGTTATCTGATTTTTAGGCGGGTGGACCTTTCTTGGCTACACATTCCACATTGTGACAATTTCCCACCAAACCTTAAGAAGTTAACATTGTGCACAACAAACCTACAATGGGAAGACATGAACATTCTCAGAAAATTACCTAATCTTGAGGTGCTCAAACTTAAAGATGATGCCTTTGACGGACTAACTTGGATACTAAGCGATGAAGAGGAAGATGGATTCTTGAAGCTAAAGCTTTTACTTCTTGAGAACATGAGTCTGATGCAATGGGAAGCAACAAGTTATCATTTTCCAAGCCTTGAGCACTTAGTTATAACATTTTGCTATTCATTGGAACAAATTCCTTTCGACTTTGCGGAGATTCAGACACTACAGCTGATTGAACTACAGGACTGTCTGCATTCTGTTCTTGTTTCAGCAGAGCAAATACAAGCGGAGCAACAAAGCTTGGGAAATGATGACCTCATTATTCATGCGAACTATATTTTTTGATTAGCTAGATTCGTTCGAAATCTGAAAATGTTTTTTATATTCATCATTTTCACTTATTTATACTATAAAAGGTGCTAATTACAATAGGTTTGTGCATTGCAGACGTAACGACTAGTTGATGAAGAGTACATTACCTTTTCGTGTCTGTGTATTTCGATTTCTTTTTTTTCAAATTCTGGGAAGCAAGTTAGGACTGAGACGTAGTTTAGTGAATCTGATATCTATATACATTCATTAGAAAGAATGCATTACCTTTGGAATGTGTATATAGTTGAATAACTTCTCTTTTTATTGAAATTGATTCTATAAATCAGTTCTCCTCAACAAAACCTTTTCGTCCATACCAAACACACCCTTAGTGTTTCTTTGTTTTGCTCGTCTTAACTCTTATCTATACTTTGACATTTTTTTGTGTTTTACTTGCTTCTTTTGTTACAATAATGTTTTATCATGTTGAATATGTTGACTTTTAGTCAATTTTATTTTTTCTTTAGTTCAAAACAATATAATAAAAGAGGACGTCGAAAATTTCCAAATACGTGAAACGTAATCTTCTCATTATTTTGCTTTGCTCTTTCGATCTTAATTTATATAACATATTTCACTTTTTAGTATGTCTCAAAACAAATTACTACATTTTCTAATTTGAATATATATTAAAATTGTGGATATCATAATTTAGTTCTGATGTTATACTTTAGTTAAAGAATATTTCTTTTTTACTTGTTCACTTTAGCAAATCAAGATCATAAAATTATTAATTGATTTTTTTATAATTGTAGCGTCTAAGTCCGTTTGTATGCGCGCCAACTAATTCTATGATATAATATATCTATTATTCCTCACCAACCATGCATAAAGTAACTTTGTTATCAAAGTTTGAACTGATAAGAAGAAATCATCACGTGTTCTTAGTTAGCTATATCTAGAATTTGAATTTAAAATCCCATAATTTTCAACACATGACTTCATTGACCATCTTTCAAAAACAATATAAGATCTACATTTATTCTATCTTTTCTTACCTGATAAATGAAATTACACTAAATACGTTGTTGTTGTGATTGTTATATTGTCTTTGTGTATCTAAAGAGATATGGATGTGAAAAATGTGAGTTATATTATTTTAGAAAAATAAATAGGAATCTTTTAGGTGTTGAATTACAATTGGTTCTTGTCTATCTTTTTCGTCTTTTCCTTTTTTTAAAGTGAATATAAAAAAAATACTAAAAATAGAAAGTTAATTACCAAAAAGAGAAATACCAAAATAAACATACTAATTCATTCTAGATTAAGAAAATTAAAATATCATAATACTGAACTTATTTATTGAAACTTAATTTGAAAAGGATTTGAAAATTATTCTTTCTTTTGAAAATGAAATAAAATTGATATTCTAAAATATGATTCTATTTTTGTAATTTTCCAATTTCAACAAATAAAACTTATCAAACTACAACAAAAGTTAAAAAAAAAAATCAACATAGTAGTGAAATTTCAAAAGTGGGTATAAGAAAGGTAGGATATAAGAAGTGTATTGTAACCAACGTAGAATTGAAAGGAAAATAACGTCAATAAATATCAAGATATATAAAGCAAATGAAACAACATGTAATAGTGAAAAATTAAAGAATAAGATTCTATACGATTACTAATCAGTATTTACTAAATAAAGAGAAGATGAGAAGAGGAAGTTGATCCCCCGCTTCTCCCACAAATTTATTTACTATTCTTGTACTATAATTTTTTTTATCTTCATACCTTCTTATTTAAGTCGTGTATTTCGAAGATGTGTTACGACTTATTTGTACCTTTCATAAATGTACTAAGTGTGGTTCATCGCTAAAGCTGCAATTACAAAGGAAGAGGCATCAAGTGTGGTTCGTCGTCGAAGCCGCAACTGCGAAAAGAAAGAAGATATTTCATGTGTGGTTCGTCATCAAAGCCACAACTCTAAAAGAGGATGATCCACGTATGATTCGTCATCAAAGCTGCAATTGCATTAGAAGGTGTACTAAGTGTGGTTCGTCGCTAAAACCGCAGTTACAAAAGAAGATGCACGAAGTGTGGTTCATCTCAACCAAAGCAATAATCGCTAAATTTTTTTTTGCACCAAATGGTTCCTCGCCAATTATGGATTACACCTCACATTTTTTTGGTATGATATTGAGACTTTTTGCGGTCCATCATAAACCTGCAAGAAAAAAGGAAAAGTGATGTGTCTCCTGGTGCAAATTGCACGAAGCTTCAAATTGACATGGTGAAAATTATGGCATATGCTCTCGCGCTCGTCATGATGAATGTGGTCCTATTGGCTCAAGAGTTTTATGTTGTCTCTCCATGTAGATGATGACAAAATTCTCAATCAATGCAGAAATCAATATGCGGCTCTTCGGCAAAGATGCAGAGAAGTGAACTCATGGATGTTGTCGAAAGTCAATTGGATCGCTAAATTTAAAAATATCAATTTTGGTGAATTCATGAGAACTTTGAGTTTGATTTTTGGATAGGTTGTAGACTTAAGAGTCTATTTTCTATTGAATCAAGTCGGTCTTCTAGCTCTCCTACACCAAGATGCAAACGTTTTGGTGAGACTCCACAATCTGCAAAACAATAATGACAGAATTGAAGACCAACTTCAAAAATTAATTCTCGTCAATCCATGAAGAATTTTACCTTGATTTTTGGATATGTTGTAGACTTTGATGTCTAGTTTCTGTAGAAACAAGTCGTTCGTCATTCGGATTCTCCTACACCACGATAGAGACGATTTGGTGGGACTGCATAGAGCTATAAAAAAAGAAGACAGATTTGATAGCAAACTTCAAAAATCAATTCCCATCAATTCAGAAGGATTTTGATTTTGAATTTCGGATATGTCGTAGCCCTCTGAGTGTAGTTTCTGGAACATCAAATGGATCATGATTTCGACGATTCTACAACAAGTTATGAATTTTCCACCACGGGCGTGCTGTGCTGAAAAAAAAAAGTGACGAAAATTGAGTTTGGTATGCCTCAAGTTGACAAGAATATGTGTATTTATAGAAATCAAAAGTACATAAGTTGTGTTCCTACAAATTATGAAAAAAAAAAACCATATTTAAAACAAAATTATGGTAAATTTTCCTAGGAACCGAATTATGGTAAGTTTCTATAGGAATCAAGTTAAGGAAAATTCCATTGGAATCAAGTTATGGAAAATTTGCATTGGAATCAAATATGGAAAGTTTTGGAAGACTCCAAAAAAAATAAAAAAATAATTACGAATGCTTCAAGCCTTGTCTTTAAAGGTTCAACAAGTTGGACACCGCAACAAGCCTCGAAGCAGGGGGCATTTGTAGACAGTGAAGTTTTATTGATAAATCCATACTAAATTTGGATTAAATCTTAAATTCACGATACGTTGACCAAGTCAAATTATTGGTTAATAAAGTCGGATTAATATTTATGTCAGAATTATATGACTTAAATCAAGTTCAAATAACATTTGGGCCAGTCCATTAAATTGACAAGATAAGCCCAACTCATATCCTTCAGGCCCAGGGGTCAAAATTGCTTGGACCAAAATACCCCTAAAGTCCTAGCTCAAGCCTATATAAAGAGGTCTTCATAAGACCAAAGAGATATACACCCATACATCCACACAAAAAATACATAATTGCTCTTCAGTGGTGATCTACAAGTCATCCACATACAAAGAAGTCTTCGCTCCAAGTATTGAGCCGCAAGTATTCCGCCAAATCAAGAACATCTGTGGAGAGAAGAATCAGGGGATTACATATCTTTTTTAAAGAGATTTTATAAAGATTGTAACCTTCGCATTTATTCAAATACAAATATTATTGTTTTCTTGCTATTTTTCTTTTCCTGTTTACTGTATTTCAGGATTGAAACTTTAGACGCTTACAATCATGATATTATTTACAAAATATAGTAAGTAATTGTTCGATTTTGGATTCAAATACCTTCTTTTTTTCTTTAGTATGTTTTCCATTCATTACTACTTACTTAGTATAAGTCGCTAGAAGGTGAATCACGGCTTGGACAACATGTCTACTTCAGAAGCCAGAGATAGTTTTATCTTTCTTCGTGCAATTACACATGTCTTTGATTTTTCTTCGTGCAATTACACATGTCCTTGATTGATAAAAATATGAAAGACTAGATTTAACCTTACTCCTCTATATTTTTTTTGGGCAATTAACGAATTTTATTAATTACCATAACCATGAGAAATTATTTTAGATTTAACCCTTGTCAAAGACAAAATCCATCAAAAACAATGTCACAACTATCAACGAAATGTGATATCTGATGTGAATTGTAGAGTTTTTGAACCATCGAGTCTTTAATTGCATATTACGCTCGAAGCTATTAGGCCAATGACATATATTTGTCGGAACGAAATTATTTTTGTGCACTCTTAATATTTTTATATCATTAAATCCAAAATATATACCTAAAATGAGGAATCAATTATACATAGTACTAGAACTAGAATACTTATCCTTAGGGCCACTTAAATATATTTTTAAGTAGCTTGAACAGCTAATTAACCACTAATAAAATCCTATGTTCCTTAATCCTAGTATATAATTCAACTTTAAATATAATCAGTAGGTAAGTGTGATAATGACATCCATAATTATCGTTATCACACTCCAATTTAATAATAAAGTAACTTTTTATGATATACTATATCTATTATTCCTCACCAACCATAACTTTGTTATCAAAGCTTGAATTGATAAGAAGAAATCATCACATGTTCTTAGTTAGCTATATCTAGAATTTGAATTTAAAGTCCCATAATTTTCAACACGACTTTATTGACCATCTTTCAAAAATAACATAAGATCTACATTTATTTTATCTTTTCTGACTTGATAAATGAAATTACACAAAATATGTTACGGTTGTTATATTGTCTTTGTGTATCTAAAGTGATCTGGATGTGAGTGGGAACATCCCATGTGCATATGCTCAAGAAAAGGAGATTG